TACGTTCCGGCAGTACCCTGGGAGACATAGACCCTCTCAGCGTTAGCATGGCAGCAGGCCGGCTGCGTGTGTGGCAGCAGTCATGAGGAAGAAGGCTCTTGACGCTTAATGCAGAAAGCGATTGTGATACCGATTTTTTTACAAATGAATATAAATAAGTTGTGATTAGAGTTGACAGTAAAACATGTATTTTATTCCATTATTCGATTCCACTGCGTGTAATTATGAAAGTACAAAGTTTTACTTGTTTACTAACATTAATAAATACATCTCTCTGCAAACCGTTAGAAACAGCAGCAAATGTGCAGTGTGTAAAAGAAGCTGGAGCATAAACAACTTTGATACAAGCTAAATTATGAGGTACTTTGTAACCAATTTCACTATATTGCTACATACACGTGTCTCGGCCATTACTACTGAATTTTGTGATGTCATTATGAAAACAGTTGAGCATGCTTACCATCGTGGTATGTATCATCATTTCAAGCACCGGGGAAAAAAGCTGCAGGTGATACTAATTAAAAATACCTTCCACCACTCACTCTACAAAAACATCACAAAAAAATATCTGACATTGTCTTTTGACACCTGACAAACATCTACCAATGATTCCAAGTACACGCACAGGCACCTCATCTATTGCACTCAAGATCCCACGCTTCTGATTAGTGTCCGCCTTTGCCGCACCAACACCAACTACTCTAGCCATATTTCCGCAAGTGAGAACTAGAAGGTATAGGCTGTCTTGAACGATGGCGGGAACTCTGGATCTCACGTAGACCAATCACGCAGTTGAGGGATGTCTTTGTAGAGTTCAAGAGCTTCTGGGTTAGCTAGCGCTCCCCTGTTGTTAACCTCCACTCCGGAAATGATCTGCTTCACAGCCACCTCCACCTTTTTGGCATTGGTCGTATACTACAAGGCGAGCAAAGGAGACACATTCAGTTGCCGTTAGATCAGAGGCGAGCAGGTTTTACAGCTTTGAGCGGGCATTCTCAGCATTAGTGCTCTATTCCATGGTGGGTCATCCTGAGTAGTCTATCACTCTACTGCATGCTTTAGTTATCCTCAGTATACTATTACACTATACTATGTTTTGGTCACCCTCAGTAGCCTGTTACACTATACTATGCATTGGTCACCATCATGATCAGTAGATTTTTACTCTACTACACTCTCCAGTCTCTTACATCATCACTTTATATCTCTCGCTGACTCACAATGGCACACAATCACTCTATCTTTTCTACAACATCCTTCGCTCGGCGTGATATCATGAGCGGTGATGACTCACCGGCACATCGGCGATTGGCAGGACAATGGCAGGCACGTGCCGGGGCGACAGCAGCCGGCATATGCGCTCCTTCACTTGCTTCATGATGGAATCAGTCAACGTGTGTCCACTCTTCATCTTGAGGAACAGAACTACACGCTCTTCTTGGTTGCTGCGGTTCAGCTGTCCGACGCAGAGCGAATCGTCAATCTGCGAGAATTCTTCAACTGCAACATGCACTGTGTGTCTTAGTGTAACGTCTTGATACAATAACACGCAGCATTTCAGTGTAATGCCTCGACACATCTCCGTGCTAAGGTACATAAGATAATTTCAAAGATAGGTGTTACCGCAAGGTCCCAATCCATACTATGGTCTGCCCCTCTCACTCCCCTTTCTCTCTCTCTCTCTGTATGTGTCTCCATCCCTCCCCCTCTCTCCCACTCTCTCTCGCCTCTCCCTTTCCCTCCATCTCTCTCTCTTTCTCTCTCCCTCTCTCTCAATGTGTGTGTGACTCTGTCTCTGTCTCTGTCTCGTTCCCTATCTCTGTTTCCTCCCCCCCCCCCTCCACTCTCGCATACATCCCTCTTCTCTATCATCTCCCTCCCCCACCCCTGCTCACGCCTCCCAACTCACCGACGTGGTAGATCTCCGCGCTGCCGAACCTCACACCGCCTGGGTTCAGCGTTCCGTCACTGCGGCCCAGCATCAGGAGACCTCCTGTGCGCGCGCTGATGAGCACGAAATCACCGTGACTCCACACGCCTGCAAGCAAGATCGAGACACCGCGCCTCAGGTCACCATCGCAACATCCGCAAAACACTCGGCGTGAATTTACCTCCCATCGAAAATCATGGGGACTTTTACCGTTTTCGATAATAAAATGATTGTAAATCAACACAAATTGTATTTTACTACGAAGGTCTTGATGTTTATGTATTCGCTATCGACTAATGATTATACGCGAATGTCATTTAAATGCTCCTCTGCAACAGGCAGTCTCAATGAACGCACGTTACTGTGCACAAACTCACAGTAAGATAGAGATTGCGCACAGTTGGATGCGTGCGGTGAGATCATGTATTACAGAGGAGCATTTGAACGGGGAATTATTACTAATATATTAATAATAGGTGAAAAAGAGTAGAAAAGTATTTGGACTTTGGTAGTAAATACAATTCGTGTTTATTTACCATCATTTTATTATGTAACAGTGCAATTGCCCGTGGTCAGAATATATGCTCGGAGCATTGCTGAGGCCAAGCTCGGCAGGCAGAGGCCCATTAATATTTAATATTGTCAGAAACAAAACTAATATTAACATTATAGTCTTAACGACTTTTCTCGTAGACAGGATCTCTATACACTGCGTATTATCATGAGAAACTCATAACTTTAAACGTTTCTGTTAACGGTCTACAAGACAAAAGTTAATGTTGAGACTAATGTTAAGAGGTTAATTTTGTTTCAGACGATTGGCCCCTGGCAAGCGCGTTTCAAGACACGCTTACTTTTTTATTGAGATGGCGACGTATTTGTCTGAGCTCACACGAAGAAACTTTACCTTTGAATTTCTCGAAGTAGGCCTTTTTGTACTTGGCACCGGTAGCGTCATTCCAGAAATGCGTAGGCATGGAAGGAAATGGTTTTGTGCACACTAACTCGCCGCTTTTTCCGTACTGCGCGTTCCCTGCAAATCGAACGCAATTGCCATACAATCACCACATGAAACCTCTGTCAAACACGACCGATGTACGTGTCTGCGATTAATTCACGTGAAAAGATTAGCCTCGCGTCACTGTCACCCGAAGAATCCCAGTGGTCAACGCACGGGAGTCGGGTGAATTCCGAAAAATACTCTTATATTTACAACATCCTCTTTGCAAACAAGCTATTTGTCATCCTTTGTTAGACCTCAATTGAATGAAAGGTGGATATCACCACTAGCTGTATTCTGGAAGTATATATGTTGGGCAACTGCATCTTTGGATGCATGCTCATCTGCCAGGGAAGCTGTGAGCGTACCGTTGTCATCCCAGCTCTCCACAGCCATTCCCAAGTTCCTGCCCTGTACCTCGCCCCTGATCACCGGCAGCGTCCAGTTCTGTCCGACGAAACACGAAATGAGGTCCGTTCCACCTGCAATGTAAATCGATTTGTTACGCCGATAGCGAGTAGATCAGTCGCGTATTACCCCAGCACAAAAAAAACATAGCTTTGAATCAGTAACAGCATGGGCCACTTTGAAAGGATAGCTCGTATTTCACAACCTGAAGAAGAGCACAATAAAAGTAGAAGTACAATTAATATTTATCACGTTAGAGTAAACAACTATACTACGTGTGCACAAAACGCTGCGGAGAAAGAGCTAAGGTCATTCTTGGGCTTTGCCAGGACATGCTGAGCCCTAGCTACTATACTGCTGATAGGGTCTATGTCTCCCTGGGTACTGGCGGACCATACCCTGGGTACGGTCCGGTATACCGGAACGTACCCTGGTAACTATCTGATATGGTTAGGGTTAGGGTTAGGGTTAGGGAGTAGGCGTAGGCGACTCCCTAGACTCGTTAGTGGAGTAGGCGACGTACGGTCCGGCATATTACATAGTACCAAGGTACGTTTCGGTATACCGGACCATAGGGTACGGTCCGGCATAT